CGACCGTCAGCGGCTGACATTTCAGCCTGGATGATTTGCAACACTGCTAATATGAGTGTCATATGTGTTGCGGTTGTCACAGGCTAACGTCCTTGTTGTATGAATAGCATATCGACTGTTACAAACAATTTATAAGCAATTAGTGGAAAGTGAATCACTGCATATATAAACTAGTTTGCTTGATAAATATTTTGTGTTTTAAACTGGAATCGCCAATAAATTATTCATGTAGATTACACAATTGAACAAATTGCTACCGAGTCAAATACATTAGTAATAAACAGAACACTGATTTTAAAGACTCCACACTGATTAAGACCAATTTAGTGTCATTTTAATGTGAGGGCGTCTACTACAAGAATAATGAGGATAGTGTCTGACGACATGATTACGAAAGGTAAGTTCGAACAGAACCAGGTTCGAGAACCTCTGCACAAAATTAAAGCAATTCGACGCTATACCATTTTAAGGCAAGAAACACTTATTTCCTTTCGTATTAGATATATGTGTGGGACTGTACGTGTGTTTCTGTGTGTTGATACGAAGGGGCGATACCACATTCATGTCAAAAAGAAATGTAACTGTCGTCTAACAAATTACTCAGTAAGTGAGATCAGCAGTCTAACATCCGTTTTAAGACTACTTAGAGAATATTTCAAAGAATATTCTCTATCTTCTGGTGGAATAGTCCGTATTCGAGGTGACGGGCTATCAAAATGGAGAAGTATCCCTGAGTAGCTTAGGAATTTCCACGGCAAACACAGAAATGTCAAGAACACGCCTTCGTGGCTCTATACTGGTCAGGTCACTCACAAAAGTAAATAAGCTGGAAAAGCAAAGAGACACGGAATTCGAGATGTTGAATACAGCAGGCCGTATAAGAGATCTGAGGAGGCGACACGTTTCTCGGATACAAGATGGCACGGCGTCACAACCCGGAATCTCACGATCCACGGTGAAGTGGCATACCGAATCTGGAAGTAAGACTCATCTTGATTTTAAAATCGGATGGAGATAAAAGTGGTAAATAACGAGCTGTTCAGTGATTGGCTGGGAGTGGTCCACACGTACTGGAGACATGTTGCCTTAGACTCACAAATTAAAAATAAATACCTGAAATTTCAACGTTCAGTCTGAAATATTTTTCTGGCTGAGCTATATAACAGCTTTACACATGTACTTTCAAGATTACACAGAAGTATTCTAGGTCTACAACGGCGCAACTTATAAGATTTGTGGTCATTGACGACTTGGAAAAAACCCAAAGAAAAGCAGTTCAAAATAAGCAAAGGTGTTCAGATTAAGCACTTTCTATGCGCCTAGTTTATCGGACACAACTTTAAATCATATGTAAATAATAAAATAATTTCGGAAAGCTGTCTGCCACAACCGATCAATAAAAACGTCTTCATAGACTATTTCAGTACACAGCGCACTGACTTCACGGTTTGTACACAGTACTCGTCAGAGTAACCATGCAGTAAAGCGTAACAAAAGTAAATATTTCGTGCGAGTTCTTTATGAGTCTTTGTTCTGCATTGATCTCTCTCATTTACTGGAGATACTTTTGTCAACGGAACTAAGAAACAGCGAAAATAATAAATTTGAAAGAGACATTAAAACGATTATTGAGAAATAGGGGCACCAGTATAAAAACAGCCTTTAAATAACTTTGTAGCATACCGGGCACTTTCCCTTCTTCAGAAAAAAAAACAGACTCCTCGGATCGCCATGTTATTTGTGTCAGCTTATGACACAATTGACCGATTTTCAGGAAATTTTATAAGAGTATCGTGTGGTAAATCCCCTCTGCAATGTACACAACTCTACAACCGCAAGTGTTTTTTTTTCGACTGAGTTATAAACAGAAATTTCACAGTTCAGTAAGAATTTTTAAGAATCAGGATGTTAATAACGATGTTAAAATTTGATGACAGCGGGTTCAGATAATCTAATCACAGAATTACTTTCGTATTTGATTTTAATCATAGCTGACAGTTCAAACAGACATTCCCCTGATCAGGATTACAATGAGAAACTTAGAATATATATTACCATCACAAGATCTTAGTTGGTTTATTATGGAGTATTAAATTTTATCATAAACATACTCATCAGAACAAGAATTATCTCGATAAACCAACTATTTCGACTATCAAACTTAAGTACGTAGATATGTATACGGGTCCCCAACGAAATACATCGAATATTCTTTGTATAAACAAATGTATAGAACTTTAATTCATTATTTTGTCTAATAAAACATTATATACAGCTATGTACTCAACAGTCAGAGCATGAAGTTACCTAAATTTGCTATCAATATTAGGAATACTTTGGAAGTCGGCGTAAGATCACAGTGAATCTCAGAGGAACAGGACGTGACGATTTGAAACAGGGCCTACGGAATCTGGGCCAATGACAACATTGGTATTGACAGTGTCTGTATCAGACACGGTCAGATCAAAGAGGCTTTAACGCCAGTTTTCAAACCGCCAGTTAAGATTACTGTATCTCATTACGTTGCAGTTAGCACATATGCTGCGCGCGGCGTAAAAATGTTTAAGTCCACTGCGGTCAATTCAATGCCCTTTGGCTATACCCGACTCCACTAGTTGTTTGTTATGTTGTTACTTGTTGTCATAGCAACAGAAGGCATCGCGTTTCCAGCGCGCTCATCTGTACGGAATTATTTCCGCTCTGCTATAAGATGATCATTACATCAAAAAGTAAACAAAATTGATCTATGGAGTAGTAAGTAGTCGAGCTATTTACCAGTTGCTGACAACGAATGTGTGGGTGAATCTCCGATTCGTAACCACGTAGAATTTAATCAATATTTCCATCTGCTGTGTGTGTTCATTTGTTTCGGAACACGTTCATCCAAAAACACGACTGAATTTTGAATCTGGCATATAAATGTAAATAAACTCGTAAATATCACTCACTGAGCATATATTCTGAGGTTGTCGCGGTGAAGACGTAGGGCTGCTGAAGATTTGGGGGGGAGGGGGATGTTCCTCCGAAAACTCTGGTATCTACAGACATAGTATTTAGGCCCAAACCGAAGAAAACAATGGTTATCAATTACCATGGCGACCAGTTATCTAACGCCTTTACGTCATTTCACGGTTCGAAAAGCAACACTAGCTTATACGATCAGCAGCTATAGATGGAAGTCAGATAAATTAAACACAATTACGACAGCATTCACTTTTCGGAGTAAATAACATTCTGGGTGAATGTTACTCTCTCTTTCTCTCTCTCCCTCTCTCTGCTGATTAGCCATCTCTTTTACCAGTTCTTTCCCAGACCAGAACATCGTTTTCAAAATCGATTATTGACATCGATGCTAGCAAGTGAAAGCGTAGCAGAGCGTTCGTTACTCCGTAACGTTTATAAACGATACCAGAGTTACAGAGGCTTAATATTACGAGAGCAGAGACAGTTGATGTCTTCCGGAATGTTGCGCCACGTAATCTGGCAGAAATTTACCGACGATTCAGAGGTGCTTCCTACTTCCATCTTAGCCCTGACAGAGCACCTTTGGAAACTTCTAGAAGACTACACGGCAATCTTCTTCAGACTATGTTTCGGTTTAGATGACAGCTCTAATTTTACCTAAAATTTGCTTTTACTAACTCATTATTTCGATCCGAAAATAATTTAATTTGTTCTATCATAAATAAGTCTAACGGAATCGTGGAGGCAAAACCAGAAGATATACGATGTTCCATCCACCACTCCCAACCCACCTACATACTCAGTCCATCTTGGCCTACGTATTAGATCTCACTGTCCCGACAGCACTACTGAACGTCTCATTATGTAATACTAAACATGTATGATTATTAATTTATAGAGCATTCTAGCGCCGCCATACTAATTTACGTTGAACAAAAGCAGGCAATACAAGATTTTACAAAACTTTTTTCCAGTCCATCAAGTAAGACTCGACAATTTAGTTGCTAATGCGGAATCATCTTGCTTATCCCAATTCAAGTTATTTAACTGACAGGGACTAGAATTACATATGCAGTATACACATAATTTCAGTTATAGTTAGAGGGTTCTTCTTTCGAAAATTAATTTCCATTTTCGCTGGTGTAAACAGGATTTTAGACTCGTCAGACAGAAAATCTGCAAACGTTCGCGGGGCTAAACCAAATCTGAACAGGTAACACTATTTCTCTGAACATAATTTAGATTTGTATAGGTCCCGACTAGCTTACATTTGACATATGTAGGGCCTGATCCATTTAGTTCTTTATCGTTGCACTGATTCGAGTTATGTTTATGATAAGCAAACAAAACGAAGCATTCCCAGGTCAGGTCGTAAATTACTCATCGCCATAAAAAATAAAAGCAAAGTTGTCGTCCTGTTAATTAAAGACGCCACTCCATGGAGGTGTATGGAGGAGTGGAGGTATAACGCCACGCATTCTCAACCTCAGCAATAGATGCACTAGGTGTGTAGTCACCATCAAACGGAAACCTTCCGCCATTTGGTATTTTACATTATACAAAACGCTCCACAGAATTTGAATATTTCTATCGCACAAAATTTCAGGTCACTGTATTAAATGACAATCCAACTCTACAAATTTGCATGGCTGTCATGTGTGTATTGCCGATGGCAAAATAAAAAATAAATTATGGGGGGGGGGTCCTTAGGAGAATTATGTTTATAGTGCGTTTCATGAAAATCCCGTCAATTAGTTAAAAAAGTTACAAGTCATGAGACGCATAGACATAAAGATACATAAGCCAGTCTCTCTATAAAATGGAATAAAGTGTGCTACAATCTATTACACCCCGAACAAATTAGTTGAGCCGTAGCTGACGTCATATATAACGGATAATGAATAGAAAAGGGGAAGATGCTTAATAGCGGATTTCCGTTCTGTGCGTATTGCACAAAAACAGAGCTGTGTCCTCTTTTCTGCCGTGCGACACGCATTGAAGACTGCAATGAAACAAAATTAATTGGCATGGTATTGAGACTGTACATCTACATAAGCGTTATCGGCTAAGGTCAGTCTGTTTATAAATTTGCAAATGACGCAAGAAGGACGACTAGAGCGGAAGTTACCCGTGGTACGACGCTTTGTAGAAAGTCGTATGTCATCAGAATTCTGAAAAACATAAACAAAGTTGTGTACCGCTTTTCAGTGTTCTTTTCATGTTTTTAGATACAACATCTTTTTTTTAAAAATGTCGAAGCGCAGATAAGTTATCTTTCTTATCGCATTTTAAGCTTACATCAGTTACAAACATGGAGGTAAGTGAATAGAATCTTTCATGTTTGTTTGTAACATCCCAGAATTTAGACTGAACTAGAACAAATTGCACAAGCTACCATATATGAGACGTAAGAATGTGACATTCATGTTTCTATGTCAGTGGCAAACAGCAGTTCATCTAACATACTTATGTAACAAGTCGGTAGCAATTAAACACAGGGTCGCTTATAAAAGCATCGTACTTGACAGACGTAAGTCTTTTAACTCCTTAAGCCTAAACTTCACACAACCGCCGGTAAGTATTTTCTGTTATTGCATATTTCTAATGTGCTACCAAGGAACATTTAGTGGACCAAGAAGGATACAGACTAAAATTAAAATTTCAGCCGTTATTAATTAATTACATGAAAAGCTACCATAACATACGAACACATGAGAATTTTCCTAACATCCATTAAAGATCTAGCAGTGTTTGACCTTACAGTCGATTCCACATCACAAGGTCGTTCACTCGTGTTGTTACCGATTGGATGGGATTGGAAAACACGAGTTCAGGATAACATTAAATGACATAAGGTCCATACTGAATTTCATCAAAATCCGTACAGTGATTCTCCAGCTGAATTATGGGGACAGACAGGTTTGGTGTGCCCTACATGCGTGCATAACAATAACTGCGCAGTTCATTTTGTATAAGCCTGAAAGTGGTCACTTATTTGAGGTACGAAATTGAATTACAAGGCTTCGAAAACAAAGCGGCCAAGAAATCTTTTGGACCTGAATACAATGAAGTGAACAATATTGGGATGTCACATAAGATGAAGATTGAAACGAACACAGAATATCTAGTTCTGTTCTGTTGGCATAGTGAAACCGAAGAGACTCCGATGGGCTGGGCATGCAGCTAGAGGGGATGAAAAATGCATGAAGAATTATGATGAGGAAATCACTTGGAGATTGAGATTGGAGGACAACAATAAGGTTGATCTTAAGAAAACAGGTTGTGGTTGCAGAAATTTCTCAAAGTTAAATGACGTTTTTCAGTGTCAGCAGTGTTGATCCTTCGGATTCTGGTATCACACTATCAGTTAAATTAATTAAAAATTGGGAAAACAGGACTAGCCACAGACATTTAGCATACGAAGGAAGGAAAATATATATCAAGATCTGCATGTAAATTGTCATCCAACCAAAATTTCTTCAACTTTTCCTACTGAAGTTTAAGTATCGCATTAGTTTTGAGCTGTTCCGTCGAGAAAGTCTACCATGTACCAGACTACGCGCCACGCCTCGTCGACAATTGTTTGTGAGCAGCGCGTGCCGTGCGTGCAACGCGACTGAGCTACGACCGGACCGACCATTCACCCATTCACCTGTGACCACTCAAAATCAATGAAGGACGGATACGAAAGCTTTCCGGGCTCGTCACATGTACTTGGAGCGTTTAAATACGTTCCGTCCACTTTATTAAAGCTCGAATATTACACAACGGGGAAAACTCTGAGCCCAACCTGACAGATGATTAGCGTATCGTCTTTATGGGGTGTTATTTATGTTTACTTTCGTATTTCCACAACTTATCATATTTTAAAATTTTATAAAATTCCGGTTCTAACTTGCACATTAAAAGCCTTTTAAAATCAGCACTAAATGTTTTATAATTTAAGATCTATATAGGCCTCGCTGAAAAGAAATGGGCATACGAAAATAATAAATACGAGATTTGATACTGAGACAATTTTCCCAGGGCGGTGAAGATGCCGATATTTGTTCTTCTGAATGGTGACGCCGTGTGGAGTCTCCAGGGCTGAAGATGGAAACGGTATATTTATCCGAAACACCGGTATCTACCTGTGGGTCTACACAGCGTCAAAACCCAGAAGATAAACATCGAGATTGGATACTGTTTTCACAAACAGAGGAGTTACGTGTTAAAGAACTGCATATAAAATTTTAGTCAGGAAACATGAAGGGAAGACACCGCTCGAGATACACACGCCTCAGATGCAAGGTACTGCTTAATGAAGACGACCATCAGCTATCCGGAATGTCACGACATCCGAAAATCCAGAAGGACTCCCTGTGCAGAAATATACTATGTGCAATTATATGATGAACATCATCACTGTCGCTTTGATTTCTGCAGAAAATGAGAGACAATATAACATGCTCGCCGCTGACAATCGCATACACCACAAACAGCGTCTGTTATTTAACCACTTACTTGAAGATACTGAGTCAACAGTCCTACCCTGTAATCCGATAGGGTATTTCCGGTCGAGTAGTTGGTTCACCTGTATCCCGTCCCAACTCAACGGGTATGAGAAGTGGTAAAAGCTTATTGTCAGGGGAAATCAACACACGCTTGCCACTGCACTCAAAGTTGTTTGATGTAAAACCCAACTACAGCTTCTACTATTGTTACAGGAAAAACAATTCTGTGTTTAATTACAAAAGTACATGTCGGCCTCAACGAGGATTCTATTCCACGGTGTTAAGTACATTTATACATGAAAAAGTCAGCACAATGTAACAAATACGCAAATAAGTAATTTAATCGTCAAGTACGAGTATGCGTGCGTCATGAAAACTTACTCTTCAGGGGCGCAAACTGTGGAACACGGGCCCCAATTTAAGAACGAATTGAACTGTGATTCTTTTAATGCTTTTCCTAATTCAATATTTCCAAAATGAAATTAATGTTAAACTTACTCAGTTATTACCTTTCGTCCGCACCCAACACTTAAAACTTTAAAAAGAAAAGCTTATATAGGTCTAGAGGCCATTTGAATTTATTTACAGAACTGCTATTTGCCACTAATCCCAAAGGCATCAAAGTTGTTATTTTTAATTTCCCTGTCCCTTCGTTTTGAAGCTGCTGTGTTTGAGTTATAATATCGATTCCAAACACGGGAGGAAGTTTTTATGTTGTTTTTTCTTCTTCAGAATTATGGAAAAACAAATTTAAACGTGTTCAAATAACAAAGTCTGACATTTCGAGAGTTAGTTGTAACATCTCATTTCTTCAAAAGAGTTGACATTTCTTAGCCGCATGCTTAAAATGTAAGTTCTCTATAGCGAAGTTCATTCTCCATTAGATTACGTACCGCAAAAATCGATGTGTAGGTCGAACAGAACTTAAATTTTCTGCAGTCTCAAACACACTTAAACACCGACTCTGTGTTTGATGATACCGATGCATGAAAATTTCACGGCAGTCGAAATAAATATACATCGATACTTCATCAATCGTTGATTTCAAGTCTCCTCGGTTTTACATTTGTATCCAATTTTGCTGACAGCGATATTTGGTCTTGTGTCCTTCGGTAATTTATGCAATAAGAGAGATCTACACTTGCTGGAAGCAGAGAGACAAATTCATACGATACCAGCTTCCTAACTTCTTAATTATCACAGAAGTGCGTACTTTTGTGACACTTTTCATAATTTATGCGTGGTTTATTAGATTTTTCTATATTTCTTTTATGAAGCTGCCAATTCAGGCTTTGATGAGTGCTCACAGCGGCTGTGATTCTAACACCCACCTTCTCAAATACCTCATTCTTGGCAACCGAGCTATATTTTGGGAATATTATAATCAAAACTTAAATTACAACCGCGGGCTCTGTTAACAGGATGTGACTCATATGACGCTCCATATGAAAATCGCGTTACAAAATAATCTGTTTAATGCAGTTAAATCCATAAGCAATCAGCTAATGAGCACATGGCGTCGGCGAGTTATCAAAATTAAAAACCAAGTGTACTTACTTTTGAGAAATGTTCTCGTTCACAGATTGCGTACCCTCGGATACGGGAATGCTGGCAGCAGTAGGGGGTGGAGGCAGATCTTCCATGGCGGTCGTAAGGGGTGGTGTCTCCGGTGGACTAGGGGGCGACTTGTCGAACTCGGCCATGGGGGCAAGTTCTGGCATCGGGGAAACCGAATTGCTATCCATCATCAGACTTCGTCAAACCAGTTAAAAATCCTACAGAACGGAACTGAGCTTTGAATTTGGTGCTTGAAATTCACAGACGGTTTACACGCGCGCGTCTGGGCACCACCGGAGACCAGACATGCCGCTCGTCAGACGAATAATGAGACCTCAAATGTTTCCCGGTTCGTTCAAGAATGTGAATGCTCTCTGTTTCTACTTATGTCCGCACTGTTTATAATTCCACCAGTCTGGTTTAACAACGTATTTCACCGCACTATTAAACATTAAACTTTACAATGGCATTCAACTAATATCCTTAATTAAAATATCATTTCAGCACAAACATTCAAGAGTCTGAATTTGAAGAAAACACCACGAAGCGAACTGCAAATATTATTTCCTTGGTCACTCGCATCTATAACACAGATAGTTATCCAAAAACAATTCTCATCAAGTGCACCTGGTGTTACAAAATGTCCGGAAACAAAGCACACGCTTTAAATGGCCTGTGACATCGCACACGTGCGATTATTACACTCTAAATTCTTCACAATAATTGGATATCCTGTACGAAAGCGCGACCAATCAACACGAAGCATTCTTCATACAATGTCCAATTCACTACGCATTACAGCTTGCAGGAAACACACGTTCAGACCAGAATTATTCCAGGCGGTTCAGTCACAGAGACGGGGGTGTAACAAAAAGAAATTAGGATTTAATTAAAAACAACACGTTATATGGTAGTGTGATCACAAGGCATGACGGGAAAAACAACATTAGTTGTGTAATTACGTGTGCGGGGAGGGTACAGGAGAGAGAGTTTAAGGAGATGCGACTCAAAACCGGAGATGGAACCAGAGAGGGAAATTCGAGTAGGTGTGAAATATGTGAGTTGATCAAGGGTTTGCGGGCGACTGCAGGCTGAGTAAGTGACCGCGCCCGAAGCTTGGTCTGTGGCTACTGATGCTGTGTCAGCGCAGACAGAACGGTAGCGAGCGCTCGACGCAGCTGACAGCGACGTCAGACTCAGAGACGCAGGGGCTGCCTGACGGGGGAAAGGAACCCTTGCACACTGGAAGGGTCACTGGTTTTAGGGGAACACCCATTGACGCACTTAATATTTATGAAGATGCTGGAACCTCACTCGTTGTTGCTGAAACGTTTTTCCTCACAAAGCCACTCAAAATCGTACTTCGTTTTCTTAGTTAAATTTCGTATTTAAATTCAGGACTTTGGAGTTTTAAACTCGGCTATGACCATGCCACGAGCCCGACTATCATAACTGCACCACTGTGCGATTAAAAATCATAAAGAAACTTGTAAAAACATTTCAAAAGTGAAGAAGACGGCAAATTGTCATCCAACAAGTATAGCTGATATGTAAGACATTGCAGAACATTTGACTACGTATTTACTGGAACCGTGATCCCCTCCGCGGGATGTGCAAAATGGGCATAAGCCAAATTCGGCCTGTTTCTATTTATCCATCCTTAAAGACATCGGCTTCATTCGAAAACGAGTAAAAAAATAATTTGATGCCATAGATTCAGTGTCAAAAATGGAGGTGACGTTCTTGAGAGGTATTTCATGGTGTAATATTTGGTAATTATGACCATATTTGGTTATTTTGAAATGCAGTAACATAAGAAAATCTTTTAAACACACAACTATGCAATTTTATGCTTTGATAAAATTAGAACATCATTCAGCTACTGTAATACTAATTAGAAGTATTTCTGAAGCTGACTTGATTGACTTCAAATTAACAGGGTTAGGATGGTTAGCTTATTATAATCAGCAAATTCTTCTTCTGATTTCTGGTCATTTAGCGTAGTTTCTTACGTTAACGGAGATAACATGGTTCCTGTTTTGTAAGCCATTCCTCTTTGGTCTTCTGGGTCTTTCTCCAAAAAGTTTCAATTGACGTAAACATTTCTCAAATCCGAAATGTGTTTAAGTAAGCTACGAGAAGTGAAAAGAAAAGCGTATTTACGGGGGAATGGGGGTGAGTAGGGGATGTTTCTTAGAGAAAGTCGCATTTATACAAGAATATAAAAATAGAGGGCGCGTAAATATAAATTCCGGTCACAGTGACCACGCGGTCTGAGGCGTGGACCTCGTGCGCTGGATAGTGGGGCCGTGGGTTTATATCCCACTCAAGGCACAAATGTTTCCGTGTCTTTCTGTGATCGAATAACCTCCCATATGGGAGGAGGACAAAGGCCGTCAAGAGCTGCAGAGCCACAGATTTGTTTTATAAACCGGAGTAGGAGTAAACTTAAACTTAGTTCTTAAAAACTGCCAGTTGAAAACAGAAGAAAAAATACCTGGAATTGTATAACCGACAGACAAGTATGAAGACTGTTTATATCTACATTTGTAACGTAAAAATGTTTTATTAGCAGGTACAGGTAGGCCTATTCCAGAGAAATGAAAAATAAGGAACTTTATGAAACACAGATAGGAAACCTTGCATTCGAGTTATAGCAAGTTATGAACAAAGGCTAAAACGCAATATCACGTTTGTTATTATCCACCTGTCTTGCGTTTTCTGAGTCACTCTAATTTAATTTAAAACTCTGCAGTCGTGTTCCTGGGTCTTTCAAGAGCGCATAGGCTTGCTGCAATTTAAATGAAAACCTACAAACAAATGGAAACTTCCCTCTCCCAACCCAACGGTACGCACAAAATAAAATAAATGCCTTTTAGTTTAAGGCTATGGAATACAAATAAAAATTTACGATATTTTGCTGATCACTTTTATTTTATACTGAGTGCAAACATTTGGGCTACACCAAAGGTAATCAGACAGTGTACTTAGGCCTACTTAACCAGACTCAACAGAATTTCAACCCAGTTTTCGTACATCGAGCCTGATATAAAAGCACCGGCCAAGTGTAAAAATAATATAACTCACTTAAAAGAACACTTTATAAAAACAAACCGTAAAAATAATATACTTAATCGTAATTCACTTTACTATTCGTTAAAAAAGCACACACGAAATTTCATTTATAAATAAACAGTTTAAGATAACAGCTGCGCCATCAAAGAGCGGCATGATTTCTGTAAAGTACGTCGATTAATGAGTATCATTTTATGACATGTAACTAAGTAATAAACAACTGATAAGACAGATGAAGCATAATATTTCGTGTTTATTATAACTAACGACTGCAAACTAAGAAAACCAGAACTGGGATTTTCCATCTCATTTCTATTCATTCCATTTCGCAATGATTGTGATCTGTTGCTTCAGAAAATGCCATAGTCTCTAAAAAAATTCAAAATTGGATCGCACGCAGGCATTCTGGAAAGCGCACACAATCTTCTACTGTGCGGGTCCTGATCTCTGTTACCGGTTCTAAACAACATTTTAAATCGTACTCTTTTAAATCTGTACCCCGAAGTACTCGGTTCAAATCTCGTTTTAAAGGTTCTTCTGATAGCCTGATGATGAAGCACACACACAGTATACAAGAAGTTGAATTACATCATTCTCACGCGGTTGATTAACCAAGATGATTTCATTGCAATCTCATGCCTTATTCCATTTGACGCTACATAACTTTAGCAGCAATTTTAACATCGTATAATTAGCGAATCAAGAAACAAATTCACATTAAAACTAAATGTTGTGCTTGTATTCTACACCGTTGCATCACTTGATACACTTTAACATTGAATTAACCATCTGATACGACATTTTAGTAACTATATTTTCTGTTATTAATGCACGGCATGTGTTGGCTCTTACAGGACTCTGAGGATGTGACACAAGGACCTAAACATATAGCACATTAATTAGTAACACAAAAATGTGGTTAATAATATGTCTTATCTGACTACTCATACAGTTTTTAAAACAAAAAATCCACAGTTCACCCAATATGTCACTAGTATCATTGATATAAAATAATTATGCCTCAACGCAGCGTCGTCCAATCTAGTAATCTATTTACATTTATAATCACCACGCACTTAAAAGTTAATGCTGCAGTAAAAGTGTTTATCTACAGAACTGACTATAAGACAGAAGCCTGAGAGTTCATAAAAGTACTTATATCCCTTTTCCTCTAACCTATCGAATTTAAATGTTTCCAATGTCATTTGTTTCGACAAAAGCTTGCGACTGCATCTAATTGGCTGATGATACGCTATTTCTTCCTTTCCGTTAAGGACGCTAATCTAAGATAATTTACCAAGTAGAGCGACGTAATTAACTGCTCGGTTGACAAATTTAATGGAAAACCCATTCCCATCCCGTGGACGTACAGACGGAATTCCAATGAAATATTTAAAGAATGTGACAACAATTTACAAGCATGAGCACACCTTGGCAATATTAGCGTGTCAAATGGATTATACAATTAGTGCAAATGCGGACCGTATCAGAATCACTTATTAGTTAGCTTGACATTTTTTTAAGCAGATGGTGTTCGTGTGTAACATTCCAAAACATGTCAGATTTTCTAGAATAACAGGTAATTAGATGCTCGCCCAACTCCCAAACAGAAGGACCACCTCTACTCGGCTGATGGAAACTTTTTGTCTGACATATTAATAGCAATCCTCCAGGCTTTAGGCTGTCTATTTGATCTTCAATCTGAAGATGTACCGCATTGCGAAAAATGACCTACGGATTGAAACAGAACATTCTCTGTGAACAACATACGTTGTTTAAGACATGAAACTAACTTCACGTGTTGTTGACTCCAACTCTCACTGGTCTATTGTCAGCGGACTCCTGGTACCGACAGTAACGCAATCGATTACGATGCCACTATAATGAATATCCATCAATCAGAGTCCTGGAGGTGTTAACTCGGCAGATTCCCCTGTCGGTATCACTCTCACCAGAAGACGGGAAAGAACAAGTGAACGGTCACTGCAGTTGATAAATTATTGGAACCCTCTGTTACCAAATAGATGGAACACCTCATTTTTGAACGAGGAAAAAACAAATATTGTATTAAGATTTCTGTCTTCTGGGTTGTTGCGCTGAATATTCATCGCCCTGATGACGGAGGCAGTATGACCTCTCAAACGTTGGTGGACATCGACCAGACTACACAGCGCAACAACCCAGAAGGCAGAAATCTTCATACTCATCGCCCTGATGACGGAGGCAGTATGACCTCTCAAACGTTGGTGGACATCGACCAGACTACACAGCGCAACAACCCAGAAGGCAGAAATCTTCATACTCATCGCCCTGATGACGGAGGCAGTATGACCTCTCAAACGTTGGTGGACATCGACCAGACTACACAGCGCAACAACCCAGAAGGCAGAAATCTTCATACTCATCGCCCTGATGACGGAGGCAGTATGACCTCTCAAACGTTGGTGGACATCGACCAGACTACACAGCGCAACAACCCAGAAGGCAGAAATCTTCATACTCATCGCCCTGATGACGGAGGCAGTATGACCTCTCAAACGTTGGTGGACATCGACCAGACTACACAGCGCAACAACCCAGAAGGCAGAAATCTTCATACTCATCGCCCTGATGACGGAGGCAGTATGACCTCTCAAACGTTGGTGGACATCGACCAGACTACACAGCGCAACAACCCAGAAGGCAGAAATCTTCATACTCATCGCTGTGAAAACCTCAAATTCTAAATACTGTATTTATTAAGACAGAAAAAAATGAATTTTATGTTTATTTCATGCTCACACAGGATACGATGTGGTTTGTTTCGAGTTGAGATGGCACAGGTCTCATACGGACACAAATGGATGGCAGCACGATGGGTAACGACGTAATCGAAAATAAAATCGACTCGCGTCAAAAGTTCGGGCTTCCGTCACGTTATTAATAACGACTGACGGAAATTGAGAGTATTACTTTGGACAAGACTCCAATGGCATAATGCGTATGCCAAATTTCAAAAACATTCGTTCAGCTCACGGTTAAGTTTGCTGCCTTCAAAGGTTCTTCGGCCCGAAGACGAAAACAGACATCGCGTTGAGTGGAGACTTTGGTTCCACATTGGGGCCAGAGCAGAAATGACGCATCTGAAGGACACGGGGGCAAACTGCGTGTGGAGGAAGGAAAGGAAAAAATGGGCAGCCTGTTTGGGGGGTCGTATTAGAACCGTGACTTGACCGGTCGCTTTGCTCGCACATGGTGGAGGGGTGCGTACCCTCGCTCTATCGATTCACCCTCTCCGGCAGCAAACCACAGCAACAGGGAAACAGCCAGCTATAATGCCCACGGTCGTCTCTCACTCCTTTTATCACCAATCTTTGCTTCCTTGAAACAAGAGACATCCGACAACAAAACCCATTCTCGTGTCTACTTTTTGTTTCGCATTTAGACAATAGTTGAAGCAGTTTACAGACGTAAGGGCAATCTCATGATTCAACGGAATCGTTCTCTAGCTCTTTAAAACGACCTGTAATTTCGTGTAGTCATTACGCACAAAAATCAAACTCTTCTTTTCAAAAGAAAATGCTCACTTGCAGTTGAATAAACATTGCTAAATGCTCACTAACGTAAACCTAAACTAGCTGGCTAACAACTCTTGTGATGGGCTGGCTGAAGCTGGCTAATGATGCATCCATCATAAAACATTTGAGGAACCTGCATTGAATTTTATTATTCTATCTTTTAGACTTCAGAAGTTCGCAAGTTATTGAACAAAGGAAATTAAGAAATCCGAAGGTGGAATGATTGATGTTAGAAGGTTTATGAAAGGCGGTCAATTGGTCTAAAATTTATGACACACACACAAAGGCACACAAATTACCATTTTATACCACAAGACCAGTTTATATAATAACTACCCACAGCATTTCAATCCAAAGTCTGAACTAAAATTAAATCCCCGCAGTACCAAATTTAATCAAAATTCGTTGAGTAGATACGGATACAGAACCATGTCATCTCCAATACACGTTTTTCGTAAAGTACTGAAATCAATGGATATCATGTCCATAAACTTACTAGTAAGTAAATCCAGTATTCTTCACGCTTCGGAGCAAACTCGATTTTGAAGCAAGCAAGCTTTCACCTTCGTATATATGAAGCTTCTTGCAAGACAGACTAGTATTTCGCCATTCTTTCGCTGTTTCTGGTGAGAAGGTACACATCACAAAGAACAGAGTTATTGAAATTCATGTCTGCTTCATTCAACCTTCTTCTCGATCTACATAATAAATATTCAAGACTATTCGGCTATGGTCCCTGCTAGTTCTCAACTTCAAAGAATATCTTAACGAAAATGCCTTATAAACAGAGACATGACTGAAGTTTTAAAGTAAAACCGAGAGACGTAAATTTTTATAACTTCGGTACAAATGTGGATTTATTTAACTGAATGGGCCCTGCACTAAGCACCTCTGAAACGTCGGTAAACTTCTGTCAGATTAGCTTTAAGTACGTATTAAGTACTCATGTTGGACGCTGCAAGGTAAGACAGGAAGACGATCATCTCTGGTGTTTGATATCCCTGATACAAAACCAAAGCAAGAAACCCTGCTAACTGAAACGCATTTCTTTGCCTTCTCGACACGCTCTTCTAACTTCGCTCTCACCCTATTCTGCTATCAACAAAATGGCTTCCGTCGAATTCCAATCACAGCCTTCCCACTCATGTGAAAGAGTCCTTATTCGGTGTCAACATTGGCACTTCATTATTTCCGTGAACAGCTGCTCCCGAACAATTGGGATAGTTTTCGGTCTATTACGTTCTTCAACAGGCGTCCTTAAATTAACACTGGAAAGACCATCGTACAGCTTGAACTAAACGCCATGGACCCCCCAAGCCGGAATATTCTCTATAACACAATTTTCACTTCGAATAACCACTTCAACCAGATGAACTACTTTTAAACTCATTCACTGCGTACACTCGTAATTTATATCTTGTATTTTGAGTCGTGTATAAAATGTAGGATTAGTGGGTTTACATTGCGTTCGTAAATGAGGCAAAATCATTTATTAGTTAATATTTTCCGTCTCTCTTGCTTAATTATTTATAGATACATGAGGAAAATTAACTGACGCAGGTGTGAGGGCCCTTGTTAATGAGACACGAGCTTGTTTCAAAGTCGCCTGTCGTTTTCATTTATCGTTGCGTGAATGGTCCGTCGCTAGTTTATTAAGAATCTTTCGGCACGTGTTAAGATATTAAGCGCCGAGTGACCTCTCTGCTATGCAGGTCGGTTATTATCAGTTATCCGCAGACAATTTTTTTAAAACGGTGCATAAAACGTCTGGCGAATAGAATATTTTTCTGATTGGTAACATGAGCCAACATCTGTCGACCCCTGCTGTTAAATTTCTGTATTTTCAACAAAGAACAGACGTAGATTTGAGAATATTTAATAAAGCATTTCCTCCTACAGTTTACCAATTTTTATTCAATAGTACCTATGTTTGTTGTTAAAAAATTACTAAAAGGAAAATTCTATTCTATTTTTACCGCCGTTTCGCTTTTGGTATGAATGGATCTTGTGTTTTATAACGTTCATGAGGGATTGGTCATTACAGAGGAAACCTTAAACACACTGGCTACTACATATATATTTATTAACCGATAACTATCAACAGAAGTCTCGACTGTACGAGGAGCTAATTAAAGGATTAAAAAAGAAAACAGAATCTAACCTAACCCTCGTCTGGAACACCCCTCATTTCCTGCCACAACGTATCAAAGTGGGCTCTGAAAATACATCGCTTATTTTGTTGCACTGTCAGTAATGTAAGTTTAACAGAGATCAATGACAGATTATACGAAACGAATAAAGACGCCATATAGGCTTAATTAAATAACTGGAGCTCTATGAACGCAGAAAATAATAACAAGTGCATGAGTTTAAATATAGGTCTGTTTTAAAATGTATTAAATAAATTAATGCCTTACGACCCCTGTTAACAGATACTTTGAATAAACCCGTCTAAACTGAAAAACTATTTCATCCAAAAAGCCAATAAATATAAGAAAAAATTGCATACGACATAAATGAATGGCCATTTATGATTTATATCTACGACTTTCATGAGAAAATGTTTGGATGTAATACATACTTAAAGAAATACAAAGGAAAATGCTTCCATGGTTTTGCTGTAATTCATAGGTATTTGCAAAACAAACATCCGAATCGACAAACAATTCATACAAAAATTAAAGAAAGCCTTATGAAAATACGTGCTCACCTGAGGGACATCTCAGCACAATTCTGTATAACGCGGCTTATGTTACGCTGCATAGAAAATGGGTTCATTCTTTAGAAATGCTAGAGTATACATTTAAATAAACCAAATTAGTTGTAACCATAAGTTTTAATTCAGTGGGAAATAATTAAATATAACACTTGAACTGTTTTTTACGTTTAACGACATTATTTAGGCCCCTTGGTCTCTGAGGAATATCAAAGTTTAAAATCTACAGAGTTCCGATTTATTTAGATATCAGCATTGATGACAGGACATTCAAAGCTTCACGACTCTTTCGGGGGTCAAAATTACCTAATAGCAATAGTTCTAATTTTAGGATGCTTCATGTGGAACCGAATCAATGGCGTTATAAACCACTTCGCGTGGCAAGGCAATGCCCTCTGCAACCCTTCCTGGCTACGACGGGCCTGCAGGCAGGCAGCTCAGTGATCAACCCACAGCCACACCCTACTTCAAGCGAGTGGAGCTGTTCTGGATTACGAATCAAAATTTTGAAACTGTTAAAGTTTCTTAACAGAACAGTGGGAAAGTTAAAATGGCGTTGCTACAAGTAATGGAATTTTGCAAAATAGCTACGTTTCAAATTTTAATTGACGATTTAAGCACTGGAAAATTTTTGTCATCGTTTATTAAGCGATGCTGTAGATACTAGTGACGTTGAAATAAACCTAAAAATATTTACATCCGAGTACCAGGAGTGAGGTTTGTAATTATTTCAGAAGATGATTTTTACTTTCCTACACTAACAATAAACAAAAGAATAATCCTTTGTCTTTTCCATAAAATAACTCTTTCGCCGAGCTCGTAACCAAACCCTCCTTTTGATAGGGTGTCATATATAACAACAAAAAACCGTTGATAAATATAATTTTAAAAAGTACAGAATATATGACAAACCAAAGTGGATATCCGATCAATTATCCAACCACCACGTGGAAATCTTATTAGGATATTTCATTGCAAAGATGAGAAGGGAAAATATTTTTAAACCGCCAACTGAAAATACAAGTTGACATAAATTAAACCATAACTTAAGACGCAGTGTGACTTTACTTAATGCCAGTTTTTGTAGATTAATTTCATTCACACCAGCTGTCATGTTGAGGTCCATGTCGTCTTTTGGAACAAATAAACATTTTGAAAATTGGAAATATGTCCGTTACCAAAGGCTTATTTCTGAAGTAGGGCTAACACGAGCAGGTGGGTCCAGCCACCAGCCTTTATCTCCGACTAGCCTCTGGTTTTGAACCAGGGGCTGACTGATTTAGGAAACGAGAAATCGTGCTGTTTCTGAACAACAAACCCCGTTCGACGACGCACTTGTACACCATGCCTACCCGGTAGAGACACATCGGTCAAGATTTTAAGGTGTGATGAGTCATAAACGGGGCATTTCTTGACTAACTCAGAAACTATCAGCTTATGAAGACGGACACTACTCCATGTAGTTAATTACGAAATAACACTCAGTTTTCTGTGCACATCGTGTAAGAAATATATCTTGTAATATGTTTAATTTCTTTCTGAGAGTTTTAGATATAAATTTTCTGTCATGTCGTAATGCTTAGGACGGTAGCATGTCTAACTTAATATTAAAACTCACATCAATTGAATATTTTCTATCGGTTCTGCTAGATCGATATTCACTTTTTAAAACAACCTGCTTTAAAGTTTTTCTTGTTCTCAACCATGTTCATCACTCCCCTTTACCCCTGGCTTATTTTCTCTTCTTTTAACGGGATTTCACAGAATTGCCATGCGCCAAGAGGATTTTGGCCTGTGAGATCCGCCTCCGTGAGTTGCCATGGTTACGCTACCATACAAACATCTCCCAGCATCCGACACACCACCATTATCTTCATCCATGATATTATTCATTTTGAAAACATTCATCCTAATAACTGACCACATATAATATAAATTCTTAGAATTATTTGTTCGAGATCGATATTTACAGCCCAGAATAACTGTAGCAACAAACGCATTTGTGTAAGACCTCAGTTAGTACAAAGGGGGACAATAGGTACTTCCCTCGTCGTGGTTAATATAAGGAAATCAATACAATTTCAATCAAATCCTATCTTGTGATTAAGTGGTATTCTTTTCGGTGATTCGGTTTGTGTTCCCCTTCGCACCATTCGCCGACATCCCTGGTTTCGATTACTGCCCACGGCATTATTAATTTGTGTATGCGGCGTTTGTCAAAGATATGAATAGAACAGTTCGACCCGCGCTAATGAAAAGGTTGCCGAGCCATGTTCTGGTCTAAGCAACACGACATAAAAATACTGTACACGTTGCAGGCATTCTGCAACGTCGATGCTACATGGAGCTGTGCGGTCATCTTAAAGCTGCGACCGTCTCTGTGAAGTCTGGTAGAAATTCACCGACGTTTCAGATGTCCTTGCTGCATCCATCTCCCTGATGATGGAGGCAGCAACGACATCTGAAACGCCGGTAAACTTCTACCATAGTGCACGGCTCTACGACCCAGAACACGGCCATCGAAGACATGAATGCCAACGATGGAGGAAGCTGGCTGCACAACTCACGATGACGAGGACAATTAATCTGATTAAGATTATGAACTTTTGTACATTTATTACAATTACGACGCCTTCGTACAGACTTCGACAATTCATTTTTTTTCGGAAATTTCGTTCGAATGTTGGACAGCGTGGATTTTAAAGGTTTTGTCTAAGTTCCTTTGACTTTCTGTTTGGCGATCTGATTCGTATAAAGTTTACTTCAGTCTGAGATTCACACAGCGGTGATGATGTCGATGTTGGTTTTTTGCGTTCTAACGCCTTGTGGACTTACATGTGAAAACAAATTTCACCTTCAGCCCCGAATTTCCCAAAATATTATTACAATTTCCTAGAAAATTCACTCTGCAAATATGTTTAAAAATTCAATTCATTCAGCACTGTACACGGAAATTTTATGTTGCCTTGCAAATGTTAATACCCTGACGCAGCTGACATGCCCACAGCTACCGAGGTGCTGAGAGAGATTAATCTTCAGGAACGGGGCCCATCCTGCTACAGATCAATACCGAAATTCAACTTCGAGTTTTGCTCCATGCATTGAAATCTACGCGCATTACAAGGCAGCGGCATGGAAATACCTTTCCGAGATCAATCTATTTTACACACATCATAGATACAATGTAACAAACATTAGAGTATTCCTGATAATACGCGCATTTAGATTGTACTACGAAGCCCTTCTCTTTGTACACATGAAGGACACAGGACTGAACATGGTTCTTCTCCAGTTTCCTTATTTTATACGAAATAACAGGCACACACATTGACTGTATCATTGTGTCTGCTTGTATGAATGTTTACGTCTCAAATCTTATGACATGTTATTATGATAAATATGTAAATATATCGAGTTCTTTAATATTGTAGATAAAATAAATGAAAGCATTATTAAAATGCTGAGATATTAAATACAAGGATGAAACAGAACGCTAGAAGTTTATTAAAAAGCTAAGTAAATCTAAGGTCCACAAGGACTCTTGTTCCACGAGTTTAAACGCTGACTACATGAACACTTGATATAAATGAAGAGCGGGTGGAGATAATACCCTAGTATAAATTATATCTACAATTTTCGAAACAATCACGCACAAAAGTTCCGCTCCGTCCCCTGTCATCCAAGAGCTCCGTCCCCATTTGTACTTACTGGGGATCGCTGGAAGACTCAGCGCGACCAATTTATTAAACACACCGTGTGAAACTCGTGGTACATCCTCCCTCATCCCACATGCAGACCGGGTCGCCCCGTACACTCACTACAAAGCAACAGACAGGCCTCAAGATTCCTTTGTTGTATTTACTGCCTACGCGACGATTTCGAAATTTATAGGTTATGGGGCCCAGTAGGGTGATGGCGGGATATCGAACGAAGCAGCAGTTACACAGTCGAAGGTTCTGTCTTAAAAATTTGTCTGGTGTTACTGAGTAAAACCACGAAACCTCTCGGTCAAAAATTAAATCGGACTCGGACGAAAATCTAACCCAGTGCTTCTCAAATATGGTGTATGCTTGATTCGTGGTCGATTTTAGAGAAACTGCTGCACTGTTCGGAAGTTCCTGTGCATTTGGAGTGTGTAGTTTTGTAATCATGAATAATGATCTGAGTAACTGTTAATTTGCCACGAAACACTCCGGAAACGGATTGACACAAATAGTAATTACTTCGTCACTGCTTATATTTCTTGGTAATTTTGTTTTATGTCGTTACAAATGTTTGGAAGGAGTTTTTAAATAGTTAAGTCCATTTAAATATGGCGTAAGAATTAAAACTAAAGCTTACCCTCACAAAACATCGATTGTGATATAAAACTGGCGTCTACAAGTCCCAACATTTCATATTTAAGTCGCAGTTCGTCTAAATAATATTCAAGAATTTAGTAAGTACCGTAATGAAGTGGCAATATTTTTCACAAATAAATGTATTTGCAGCCAGTTTACGTAAAATAATTAATTTGTGGCATTCATGTTTCCATATAAATCATCAGATCTGACGTCACGCCTGACTGACTTTGATAGCGGCTCAATGACGACAATATTTCTGTGTGAACTGTACTCTTCCCCCTACACCCAGGAAGTAGGTGAACCCAAGTGAGTGTGGTGGCAACCCGCCAGTAGCAACATCCCTCCCCTTCGTGGTGCTTGGGGTGTGGTGAGGGTAATTAGCTAATGACACCCAACTGTGTGTCATAAGTGAGGAAAACAGTTGAGGGTTTATGCCAATTTTGATAATAAAATAATTTCCGTGTTCAATAAAATGAAATTTATGTTGCAATTAATTATTCGTCTCGTCAGCTTTAAAAGTCGTGGCCGAATAAAACTTGAGTAAGACTTTTTGCATATGACGACTGCTACGTAATCTGCATGTTACTTGCTCAAACAAAATTTCATATTCTTGTTAGGTCTAGTCACCAATAAATTCAAAATGTGTCGGTGACATTCTAGAATATGAACTACAATCATACCATTCTACAAGCTTAGGTATTGAAACGCAGTCTACGACTCCAAAGGAAGTAGGCAAACTGCACTAGGAAAATTGGGTAATTTGATGTAATTCTGCAGCAAGATTTATTACAATTGTTCTGGTAAATCACATTCTCTGGATTTTTCATAATGGCAATGTTAAGAGGTTTAGGTAATTTAGTCAGTGACTGTACAACCACTAAAATGAACCTTAGAACAAGAACAAACAGAGGTGACATTTTCTTACTTATGCACTGACTAATTCAGGCACTAAATCAACTATACAGTGGAGCATATTTCACGTTATTAAAAATACGGTCTGGATTTATTACACCTTGCACCGTAAAAAGGAAGATGTTTCGAAACCTCAATCAAAGCCTCGGACAGACGGACCTAACAGAAGAGGAGAATTGAGGAGGCCATGGACTGAATATGGATGGGAGAGGAGAGGAGGAGGAGGAGGAGAAAAAGATTTATTACATTTCTACGAAATGGCAAACAAACGTATTAAAAAAGAAAACAGTCATGTTTATCCTGTTCTATTGCTTGTATTCGCCGACTCCCTGTAATTTTTACTATAAGAAATTACAAATGGAAAGAAAATACTCAATGGAATAAAATAAATCATTAGTTTTCAACCACCTTCATTATCTTTGTGTACTGAGTCGAGTTATGCAACATA